GGGGGCGGGGATGAAGAAAGACAGGCCCGGTGGTTGTGCGCAGCCAGATGCACGGGCGTGCGCGCTATGGGCGGCGGCGGCGGCGGCGGCGGCACTGACGCACCGATAGATGTAGCCCATCGAGTGGATGGCATGGATGCCGAGCACCGTTTGGGCAATGTAAAAGCGGACGGTGTTCTCATCGAAGTAGCCGTCATCCTGGCGGTAGAGCGAGCTCAGCACATTGCCACCGGCCAGGTACTCCATGACCAGGTACAGGTACTTGTCATCCTGGAAGGCGTACTCCAGGCGGGTGATCCAGTCACCGGAGGCCAGGCCGAGGAGCTGACGCTCCTCCATGTAGAAGGCCTGGCATGACACGGCAGCAAGAGGGGAGGGAGGATGCGGGGAAGGAGGGGAAAGTCAGTGGCTGGCGGTGGATGATGGACAGCCGCCGAGGGCCGAGGGCCGGCGGCCAGCGGCCCGCCGGGCCACAGCCTCGGTCGCGGGCAAATGACACGCCACGACGCTCTTCCGATCTTGGCATGACACGGCAGCAAGAGGGGAGGGAGGATGCGGGGAAGGAGGGGAAAGTCAGTGGCTGGCGGTGGATGATGGACAGCCGCCGAGGGCCGAGGGCCGGCGGCCAGCGGCCCGCCGGGCCACAGCCTCGGTCGCGGGCAAATGACACGCCGCCGCGCATGTGCGTGCGAGCGCGCGCGCGCGCGCGCGTACCTCCGAGTTGATCAGCATGTAGCCCTTGTGCAGGCGCTTGATGGCATAGTACTTCTGGTTGAAGTTCGACTGGTAGAGGGACACCTCGCCGAAGGCACCGCGGCCGAGGAGCTTCACCATGCGGAAGTCCTCGATGCGAATGCGGAACTTCCGGACATCGGCCACCAGATCGCCGAAGTTGTTCTTGAAGCGCCCGGCGTGGGGAAAGAGAGTCGGGTCCAGGTTGGCGCTCACCTCGTAGAAAGAGCAAAGAGCGTCGAGCAGCGTGTCGATGGACAGGATCTGCCCGGTGAGGAGCTGCGACCGCAGGAGGGCCATGCGCTCATCAGGGGGCAGGGCGTCTAGGTCCTTGCCGCCGATGAGGCTCGAGGGCTGGTAGAGAGCCATCTTGGTGGGGGGGGGGTGGGGGGGCCAAGATCGGAAGAGCACACGTCCAGGTTGGCGCTCACCTCGTAGAAAGAGCAAAGAGCGTCGAGCAGCGTGTCGATGGACAGGATCTGCCCGGTGAGGAGCTGCGACCGCAGGAGGGCCATGCGCTCATCAGGGGGCAGGGCGTCTAGGTCCTTGCCGCCGATGAGGCTCGAGGGCTGGTAG